CAATGAGAAGAAAGGCTGCCATGGTCGCAGCAGCAGTGGTGGCAGCCACTACAAGTCATGGCTGGATTGACTGCTTCGTGCTGACAGCCGAGGAATGGGATGTTAAGGAACGGTTTTTTTATGTTAAGTAGACCAACAAATAATTTGGCTTGTTTTGCTCTCCATCAGTAGGTTTCTTTTAGCCACGATAATTGTACCTCTCACAACCGAAGATGACTTCCGGCAGGAACGATTTCATGCTGCTCTTTCAGAGGCCATAAATGCCATTTTCCAAAGGCGTAATTAACTGTCTCAATTGTATCCTCGGCAATGATAATTTCATTTAAAACTCTCCCGACGACTATTTTTAAGCTGTTCCCTATAATTTATCTCAGTTGTGAGATCAGTTTATGGAGAAAAGCACTACTTTTTAGGAATAATTCATAGCGTTTTTGCATGTGCCCATAGGATTTGTTTTGCCGTTACAGATACCCTGCTAAATGTGTTTTTGGCTATTGCCGTGGACAATCTTGCAAATGCACACGATCTCAGTGATGCTGAGCAAGCAGATCAAAATGAGGAGAAAATGGTATGATCTCCATTGTTGTCCATGTACTCCGTGGTGTTGTGTGTGCGAAAAACATTGCGGGTTCACTTTGTGTTGACGGTATTGCTCGCGTCGTTGTAGACCCTCTCGTTGGCAGTGAGGAGACACGATTCCTCAATTCCTAAGTTCTCCTATCAGTTACAATCGGTGTCTTAAATTTCACGAAGAAATGTAAAATACTCCCGCTATGCGTACCGTTTAAGGACACTAAAATGTTTTCCCTTCGAGACTGCATATGTTCTCACCATTCCACTATCGACGACATAAAATTACGTGTTAACGAAGCTTAAAAATAACGCGGAATTTAAATGTCTTCTCGTCTACAATAAAACATTACAACACAGTGAATGCAAAATCTAAAAATTTTGAAAACCATTTTGCGGAGGTCTAACACAAAGCTTTTGTGCTCTGATACTTCGTTCTTGCTCTTGTTCCTCGAAGAGGCTAGAACCCGATCTCAAAAGTTCGTAATAGTAGTCATCTTTTGAAGAGTTACTTAACTAGAGAAAGGAGATCTCAGAGGATAACAATGTTGGAAATGTGTTTCGTTGCTTTGCAGAAAAAAAAGCTACACAAAGCACTCATTTTTTAACCGTTCTGCAGCCATATTAATAAACCTGCAACACAATTTTTGTTTGCATGGTCTAAAATTTTGCTGTTGTCAAAAGATAAATAGTTTTCTCGCTAACTTAGTGGTAGGGTTGGGGGGGAGACCTTTTATCCACTAAGATCGAGAAAATTTTTCATGTATCTTGTGTTCTTAATCATAAATTATGTTGAGATGATTGTACGTTGTTGCCTCTCAATCACGGGTGTATCGAAATGCGGCATCCTCCAGAACAAAGTAACCACCGCCGTCTCCCATCACTTACCTTGCAGAAGGAGGCCAAAGCCAAGGTGCTTCAGCCTTCCGCGTTGGATCTCGCGGATCCCGATAAGGCGCACCTTTTGTCGTGGGTGCGAACGCCCACGAAAGGGAATGATAATATGTGGCAAGAAAACTATCCTGGGTGGGCCTTCTTTGCCTCCTTAATGCATCACAAAATGGTTTTTGGCACACCAGTAATTACTAACTTTTGCCGGCGATTTTTAATGTACCAGTTAATTCGGAATCTCCTTTTATTTTACAATACCTTTAATTGGGAGTAAAAGAAAAGTTGTCATGATATTTTAAGTCCTAATTTTGGCAAATTAACATTTAGTCTTGTTGTTCTATCAAGAGACTCGGCCAATGTGAGCGACATGACCCTACAAGTGGGTGACCAAAAGGCAAATGGAAATTTCCTCTCCTCTCCGCTCTCCACGCAAAGTGAGTCCACAAATCAGCTCACAAAATAGGTGACTAGAGTCCAGAGGAAGTTTCTTTTGATAAATTCTCAACTTTTTTGTGACCAGCAGAAATGCAACTTCTTACTGTGTCATCCCATTCACCCCACTAGGAAAAGGACAAAATTGCATCTCATTTGAAAGCGACGAGACAGGCCAGTTACCGGACTCTGAGAAAGTTGGACATGGGAAACCCGTTCTGCCTTACAGTTCCATGTTCATCTTCGCCCCTACCAATGGGTGAGCCTGTGGTTTTGCCAAAATCTAGAGTGACTTCTTGACAGCCGACGCTGCACCACCACAAAAAAAATCCTTAAATCATCTTTCATTTAACACTGAGTATACGATAAAATAATTTTTGCGAAATCCAAGTTTTCATTCAGGAGAGAAATTTCAACTGCCATGTTTGATGTTCCCACTTCCAACTATGCAAGCAGCCTGCAAATTACTCAAGTCCTTTGAAAACTCATTCGTTTAGAAGGTGAAAATGTCGAGCCTCAAATCGGAGAACATTCTGTGCACATAAAAAAGTACTTGAAAATGAAGGTCTAAAATGAGAGAGTTTGGGGAAAAATCAGCTTCCGCACGCAACCAGAGGTGTTTACAAAAGCTCGTGAATACGGCAAGACAATAAGTGTTGCTGTTGTTTTAACACATCCCCTTGGGATCTGCTGAAATAACTGCGTCACAGATGATGTTAAAAATGAATGCTTGTTCGTAACTCCATATTGCAGAGGCGAAAATATTGATAC